GGAGGAGGAGGAGGAGAAGGAGGAGGAGGAAGAGGAGGAAGAGAAGGAGGAGAAGGAGGAGGAGGAGGGCCGGGAGGAGCCGGCGGAGGAGGACGAACAAGGCAAGGCTGAAGAGGACGCAGAGAGCGAGTACACTGAAGACGGGGAGGCGTGGAGGAGCAGGAAGACAAGGAGGAGCAGCAGGAGCAGGAGTAGGAGGCCTCCTCCTCTGCATCCTCTTTTTTCTTCATATTCTCATTGTTGCTGGCCGGCCGCTCTGCGGTTGATCGGACGTTTCTGTGTATACATAGGTATAGAAGAAGAAAAATAAAGGGACGCGCGCTCCTGATCGAGAGGAGAATAATCGAGAGGAGAATGAGCGTGAGGAGCAGGAGGGCGAGGCTCGCGAGGGGGAGGATCAGGAGAGTGAGGGTCACGCGAGTGAGGATCAGGCGAGCGTGGAGCAGGAAGGCGCTGGGCCTGACCTTCGCGCGCGCCTTGCGAAGATGCCTCGAGCGAGAGCCCTGCTGGGACATGACCAGGGCGCCCCGGCGGGCCCAAACATCTGGCTGCTCCAATTTTTTCGATGCGTTGGCCCTGGAGGTCAGGACTACTTCCCCGGGACCGGTTTTTCGTCCTGAATCGTTTCTTGACGCTCCCGAGGCCCGGGGAGGGCCCCCAGGAGGCCGAAAACTGGCAAAGTCCGCCTGCTCCAATTTTTCGGGAGCGTCGGACCTCGGGGGGCGCCCATTGGCATGGTCCCTGGGGGTGCGCGCGCCCTGCGAGGCTGTCTCGAGCGAGAGCCCTGCTGGGACACGCCATAGGCGCGCCCCTGGCGCGCGCCCCAGAGATGGAGGGCGCGCGATTGGGCTGTGCGCCGTGCGAGGCTGTCTCGAGGCTGTCTCTCGAGGCCGTCTCTCGAGCGAGGCTGTCTCTCGAGCTCCTCGCGCGCCGTGCGAGGCTGTCTCTCGAGCGAGAGCCCTGCAGGGGCACGCAGCGGCGCGCCCCGGCGCACGCCCCGGAAGAACTGGTCCGTGGGGCCGCGCCTGGCCTCCTCGCGCGCCAGGGGGTCGCCTCTGGGAGGATGTCTCGAGCGAGAGCCCTGCTGGGACACGCCCGGCGCGCCCGCGGGCGCGCGCCCGGGGAATGGTCCCTGGGGGCGCGGTGTGGCCTGACCTTCTCGCGAGCGGGAGTTCCGCAGAACCCCTTCAAAAGACTCTTCTTCTTCTTCTTCTTCAAGCAACTATTTCTTCTCCTCCTCCTCCTCCTCCTCCTCCTCCTCCTCCTACTTCTCCCCCTCCTCCTCGTCCTCCTCCTCCTCCTCCTACTCCTCCTCCTCATCTTCCTCCTCCTCCTCCACCTCCTCCTCATCTTCCTCCTCCTCCTCCTCCACCTCCTCCTCCTCTTTCTCCTCCTCTTTCTCCTCATCTTCCTCCTCCTCTTTCTCCTCTTTCTCCTCCTCCACCTCCTCCTCCTCATCCTCCTCCTCCTCCTCCTCCTCCTCGCTCCTCCTCCTCCTCCCCCTCCCCCCTCCCCCTCCCCCGCCTCCGCGCTCCCTCCTCCTCCTCCTCCTCTCCTCCTCCTCCTCTCTACCTCCTCCTCCTCCTCCTCCTCCTCCTCCTACCTCCTCTCTCCTTATCCCCCTCCTCCTCCTCCTCCTCTTCCTCCTCCTCCTCCTCCTCCTCCTCCTCCTCCTCCTCCTCCTCCTCCCTCATCTGCCTCCCCCCCACTCCCCATCTCTCCCTCATCTGCCCCTGCTCCCGGAGACGCGCCCGGAGGCGGCCGCAGACAGCCGGGAGCCCGGCGTCACGACGCGGCCCTCCGTGGCCTGGCAGGAGCAAGCCGAGAGCCCGTCGCGCGAGATGCCGCCCGCCCCCCGCGCGTCCGGCGACCGCGCCAGCGGCGGCAGCGGCAGCGTCGACGACGGCGGCAGTGGCGACGGCGACGGCGGCGGCGGCGGCCCGGCTGCGGCGATGGCGACGGCGGCGTTGACGAGGGCGGCGACGACGCGGACGCGGGCAACGGCGGCGAGGACGCTGACGGCGGCGGCGGCGGCGGCGGCTCTTCGGCGGCGGCCGAGCCACGTCAGGGACGAGCCCGTGTCTAAGGGGCACGTGCCGTGCTGCATCCTGCTCCTGCTCCTGCTCCTGCTCCTGCTCCTGCTCCTGCTCCTGCTCCTGCTCCTGCTCCTTCTCCTGCTCCTGCTCCTGCTCCTGCTCCTGCAGCTGCTCCTGCTCCTGCTCCTGCTCCTGCTCCTTCTCCTCCTCCTCTTTCTCAAGTTCCTGGTCTCCTCCTCCTCCTCCTCCTCGACATCCTCCTCTTCGTCACCATAATCTTCCAAATCGCCATCCTGTTCCAGCTCGCGCCCCCTGCCCTCCTCCTCCACCCCCTTCCTCCTTCTCACGCTACCCATGCCCCATTTCATCCTGTCCCTCCCTGCACCTCCTCCTCGTGACCCTCCTGATTGCGCTCGTCCTTGACCCTTGAGCTAGTCCTCCTCCCAGTCCCGCGCGCTCGCTTGATCCTCCTGCAGGGGAGGGCATTGGGGAGGAGGAGGAGGAGGAGGAGGAGGAGGAGGAGGAGGAGGAGGAGGAAGAGGAGGATGGAGGAGAGAGGAGGAGGAGGGAGGAGGGAGGAGGAAGAGCAGGAGGA